TGTGCTGCTGCGCTAGGTCTATAAATATTACTGATCATGTGAACTCAAAGCTTCAAGGGAGCCGTTGAAAATACCTTAGGAACCTGGGTTCCTGAAGCTTATGCCTTAGAGCCTGATGCAGAGGGATCTACACGTTTTAGAGCTCAGACGAGTATTTAGCACCGTCCTTGAGGAAATACAACGAGGATCTGCAGTAATACTTCTGCTCTTCTTGAGCTCTGAAGCCCCATTTACTGTATATGTGCCGATTTGAGAAAGACATAGCATTGCTATAAATACTCAATAATTTCACTGCTTTCATCCAAAGACAATACTCACTCTGTCTTTCTGGACTCCTCCACAGTTTGCACTGTTTATGACATAAATGAAGGCAAAGGCTTCTGGTAAATACTGCGTGACCATCTCGTCCATGATGTCAGACTCGCCGATACCTGGACTATCAATTATAACCACGCCTTCCTGAAATTAGAGAACAGAAACGTGGTTAGCCATTTTTTCAATTATTCTACGAGGCATTTCGGTACAGGTGTATACGGGATGATCAGCCAAATGCGTAGATTATTACAAACTTAGAATGATTTCACTTTAAGATAACATAAAGCCTTTGTTTATCTATTTGTATCTATTTTTATTAACACATAATAGTTAGACATTCACTAACACTTTGGTAATAAAAATCAGTTATAAAAACGAACGACGTTTTGACCTCTCCGAGGTCGTTTTCAAGTTCAAGTAAAACATAAAATAGCATACAAATAAAAAAAAAGTCTAAAAAGTAAATGGGAATGTAAAAACCTTAAAGCGTGTTGAAATGCATAATTATCTAAACAAACAACTTCACACGATGAGACATTGATTGTTAAGCGTTGGTTTCAGCTCCTTTATAAAAGGCATTTCAAAGATAAGGCAATCCAGTTTGTTCTTACACTTTCTTAGAATGTTAAAACTGCGCATGATGTTGGCTCTGGCACACCTTCATGCATCGCGTGCTCAAGTGTCCAAGAAACGTGCAGCTCCCATCAGAATCGTCTTACCCTTCAAAGACCAGAAGTCAGCAAACTCGATACGAAGACAACTGGCCGACCTTAGTCGCAAGACAAATACCGAAATCAGCCCCTTGTACACAAGTCTTAAGATAAAGATCGAATGAAATCAGAGTGAAGGAAGACAAGCCGCCCCTTGTGAGTCAACAATGTGTTAGTTATTCTTTCAAGTGTGACCTGTGCGATGGGGGTTATGTCGGATGAACATGCCGCCACTTGAACCAACGCATTGAGGGGCACAAGGGATCTGTAATTGGAGACCATCTGAGGAATAAGCATGGCATTGAACTACATAACATCATGCGAAGTCTTAGTATTCTAAAAAAGTGTGAGAACAAACTGGATTGCTTCATCTTTGAAATGCTTTTTTATAAAGGAACTGAAACCAACTCTTAATTAACAATCAGTGACTCAATTCGTGTGAAGCTGTTTGTTTAGATAATTATGCATTTTAACATGCTTTAAGGTTTTACATTCCCATTTACTTTTTAAACTTTTTTATTTGTATGCTATTTTGTATTTTATTTGAACTTAAAATTGACCTCGGAGAAACTTATTAAGATTCACCAATAAACTTGTTATTTTTTACGTTGTTTATTTATTATTAAGATTTATTTGGATAACAATGTTACATTTTTAATTGATGACGTTATTCCGATGCTGATGATGTTTTGCAGGTAGTTGAAGGAAAGGGTTGCCGTGGGACCGGTTTGCTTTGCCTCGTCCTTGGCATACTTTGCTTTACTTAACTGATGAGAAATGACTAAGTTAATGTCCCGTCACTAGTAAATACCTTCAAAAGTTGGTGAGGCCAAAAGAGTTCAATTTTTTTGTAAACTGAACCTTTTTCACGCTCACTCTTCACGTGAACATAAGGAGAGATCTGCTGAAGATAGCTTTGTTCAGGCGATGCATCCTTGAGAGGGAACACCATAGTTGGAAGCCCCGTTTTAGGATCCTTGTCCTTAAAGTGGGCCACGATCCTGCGTTGCTCTCCATACTTCAGTTCGCATATGGTGGACGTTGTGCTGAGAACGGAATATGGGAGAAGTTCTTCTCCCAGAATAAGGTTAACCAAGCTGCTTTTTCCAGAGCTTGTCTCACCTTTAGATGAATAAACCATGAATGATTAGTTTCCGTTCAAACTATATTCTTAGATCCTTTTCTAAATATCATGATAAATTTCACGAAACGTGTTGTGACTACTGTATACTGGAGCTTCTTAATATACTTTGGACCTTTTCCATTTTTATCAACAAATTTGCCCCACTGGTTAAGTTGAGGAATATTTTTAAGCATTATTTACAAACAGTTTTAAAGCTAGGTTACTTGCCCATTTTTGGGTAAGTTACAATCGACTCGATGTCACGAAATTCTTCTTGTGTCAAAGATCAATTTTGAAATCGTTTCTTGAACTACTTTGCGTCATTTACCTGCCACTAGAAGGAAGTATTCTTTTCGTTCCAGTTGAGCTCGGTGATGTTTTTTCTTATCATGAATGTTGACCACATTTTTTTCGAGCAAATCGATAAATTTGTCATCCACTTTTTGCAAACATTTCTCAGTATCGGAGTAAAACTTAAGTAAACTTTGTCTTTTCCTGGCATCTTCATCTCTTGCTTCTGTTAAAATGGAGAAGGCCTGAAACATGAGAGCAAAAGCAATTCATGGCTCAAATCAAACGTGCGCTTTACTTGTATTTGCTTCTTTCTGTTAGTCTCTCGTACGCAATTAAGTAATTTTGATGCTGATATTTATATTCTTATTATATCCAACTTGATAATGCATCATCAGGAGCTCAAGTACGTTCATTGTTTTAACTTTGATAGGAATTACAGACTCGCTGCATTCTGCTACGTGCAAAAACCCTGTAGTAAAGGGTTATTTTGGTCGAGCAAGGGATAAATATGGCAATTGGAAAAAAAATGCGAATCGATTGCGAGTCTCAGACCCAGACGTATCGCCTGTCGTCCATGTTTTTCGAACCCACACGTACGATGGCGGGCCACACTTTCCTCCTATATCCTTCAATTTTGATATGAACAACTTGACAAAGCGCTTTAAGGAACATTGAGAGTAACGGTGCATGTACTATGACCTGGAGCAACGTGTCCCATTGAGAACTGTCGAAAAGACGATTGCACAGTGTAGCTTACTAATATGTAGGCTACTAGTTCAATCAATGCTTTTGTTTCAAATTATTTTTGTCAATTTCTTAGTAGTGACACTTAAAGATAACCCCAATTTTCAAGGTCTAAAGTTAGTTCTAGCTGGTTTTCAAAACCAGCAAACAACTTTGAATAACCCGTTTCAATTCCTCTAAAATTTGTGGAAAATCACTACTTCCGGGAATAACAAATTCAGTCGAATATCGCACGGTTTCATTATTACGCCCGGGGTTATTGCCGCAAAATAAAAAATCGTTTACCATAATTCAAGGCATTTTGCCCATTGAATATTACTGGAGAAAATGCATGTCTGCTCTTCATCTAATCAATATCAGCCTTCTCAAAATATCCAACTCAAAAATTTCCGGATTCGAGCAGTAGTTTAGTGTTTGAGCAGTAATATTTGGTGTTCTGCTACTCTATTGCCCAGGGACTACATTGAGGCCGCGCTCGGTGGTTTGTCCTCAACCGCTGGAGAATTCTTAAAGACAACGAGCTCTTGCCACAATTTGTATGAAAAATCTGAATCTACGATCAATAATCTAAAGGTGACTGGTGGATACTGATATACAGTAAGGCTCGTTTCCCATTAAACTCCGTAGGAAAGCAAATGATTTCAATACTCTTGTTGTCACTGTAAGAAGACGCATTGCTAAACGGTTTGCTGTAGCTTATTGCGAACCAAACAAAGTCCCCAACATTTCCTGTTTTAAATGAGTTTTAAATACATTCCATCTGAAGAGTTCTCACCTGACCTACCGTCCAGCAAGGGTTTTCTACTGACTGATTTAATTGCGCTCTCACTTGAGTTTTCATCTGATCCACTGTTTGTAATCCTTCACACGAAATACCAAGCGCTGTCATCACTTTAAACATACCCAATATATCTTTGATTTCTTCGATGTTTTTCGCCATTTTACTGGTTTAAACAAATTTGAGCGGGAATCATAATAAGGACGATCGGAGAACAAGATAAATGGCCATACTGCAACGCAGAAATAGGCCTAACTTTCAAGCAATGTAAACCATTTCTTTGTCTCTGAAGCTACAAAACAATTGCCGCGTCCTTCTTGTATGCAGAGGCCATGACTAATTGAGTCCTAGACACCTGGTACGGGGAGGGGGAGGCCGTCGTTTGTATTTGTTGTGCGGAGCAGTCTGTTATCAGTTAGACTCATATTGTTCTGAAAAAACTATGATTTGAAGACTTTACCAGGGAAACTGTGCCCAAACAATAAGTTCAGCCACTATGCTAAGGCTGCAGGTATTCAATTATCAACGGGGCATCAAAATACCGAATGAGGTCGAATTATTAGTTTAAGCATATTCAACTATTTAACCACGTCGCAGACTGTTATCTTTCTCGTACTCGTCTTTGCAGTGGAGAAGCCACTTGGAAGAAGGAGTGACAAATTATTTCTTAGAGAAGAGGTAAAGGATGAGAGTTTTTTGTCTTTTATTGAGGGGTGGTATGTCATTAATGTGTCGTAGATTGATCGTATGATCAGTTCAGGAGCTATTTATAGCATCACAGTTTGCGGCTAATTATTTAGTGGTGCGTTAACACAGATAACACCGCGAAAGCTAGTTCGTAGTGATCGGTCCTGTAAGCTATTTTGCCTTTTCATCGGTAACCATGACACTGGAAGCTGCCCGTCTCCCTCTACTTGTATGACATATTAGGAGGCCCCTCTTTTCCATGTTAACACCCCGTATTGATATAAACAGATTGACTGCCCTTGATGCTTGGAGTTCTTTAAGGGCTTTCTCCCACAGAGAGAGTGGGAAAATGTTCACTAAGATAGACGAAATCGAAGAAATGGAAGACCTGTTCGAAATAACGAGATCCTTTCGTCTCAGTACAAGAGGATACAAAGGAGTGGATGGAATGAAGACCAGACTGCGTGAATATTTGGAAGATCTAGAGGGATCATCGAAACCAAAAGTTGGAGAAGTGAGTATTTTAAATTGGCCAGTGAGTATGCGTTATTTCTTTGTCCTCTGAAGTCAGTATCTTATTTATTGGCAAACGAAGCGATAACGGGAAAATGTTGAATTATATAAAGCAACATACATGTTAGGAACAAACGTTATGCTAATTTAGATCGAACAGTTTTAAAAATATTTGCATAAAAACGAATTAATTAAATGAAACTAGTGACGGAAGTGGATATTTGTAAAATGCTACGAGGGAAAAACACCACATCTTTGTAAAATGGATAACGTTTTAATTAATAAAAAGTAAGACCAAGCACTACTTCCATCTTCTGGTTTGCACGTGTACATCCATCGAGTCTGGCTTTTTACTCATTTGTATTAATAGACGTTTCAAGTTTTATCGGAGGCTGGCAAGACAGATGCACACAAACGTGGAATTTTGTATAACCTCTATGAGGAGGCAGCGGGGTTCTTTAAGCAGTTGGAAGATGACGTCATCATGCAAACCATCCAGGAAAGCTTGGGAGACTTCAAGACAACCCTCGAAGAAAATCTCAAAAATATCAAACCGAGAGATCAGTATGTAGTTCTTGCTGCAGGTAAACAGCATTCAATAGTTATACCCTGTTTGTTGACAAAACTGTTCAACATTTTCATTGGAAATGTGTCTGTGGACTAAAACAATGGACATGTATTCAAACCGTGTCGTTAGTTAACGATCATGGTTTGCATTTTGTAAGACGAATGAAGTTTTCACTTTCGCATTTGATTAGACATTGGGAAGTGGATAGGTAAGTATTGTCCTTTCTTCGGGAGTAATGTCCAGAATTGAACGCAGTTACGAAAACTGTGAAATTTACTGAAATTCGACATCGACATGATCTATGAAATTTGTTCGAAGGGTTGCAAAGAAGGCCCGTCTAAAGTTACGAAAATTGCGAAAATTACAAATTTACGAAAACTGCGAAATTTACTTAAATTCACAAGGCCACGGACAAATCTAGGAAATTTATTCAAAGGAGTGCAAGGAAGGCCCGTCCAAGGTTGCGAAAACTGAGAAATTTACTGAAACTTGCAAGGAAGGCCTGTCCAAAGTTACGAAAATTGTGAAAATTACAAAATATTCAAAGGGTTGCAAGGAAGGCGTGTTTAAAGTTACGAAAATTATGAAAATTACCAAATTTACGAAAACTACGAAATTTTCGGTAGTTTGCCAGCCTATCCACGAATTACACGAAATGTATTCACAGGGTTACAAGGAAGGCCCGTCCAAAGTTACGAAAATTACAAATTTGTATGAAATTTAATAAAGGGATTGAGAAAGGCCCCAATTTACAATTTATGTCATTTTCCGCTTGTATTTGTGGGGTTCATCATCATACAAGTTCACTTTGTTTTGAGAGGCCTATATAGTGAATGTAAGTTGAACCAGAATATTAGAAATTAAGTACATTTCACCCTCAACTCATAACAAACTCAGTAAAATTTCGACTCAAATTATTTGCTTTATCTCTATTGGGATAAGCGAAGTCAATTAAACGCAAAAGCATGAACATTTCATGATATTAGGTAAAACATTACTGATTGTTTGCGATAGTGGAATGCATGTCCTTTAATAAGAGCTCGGACGTTTGGTGAACTCTTTTCTATGAAGAAATAATTTGCGATTTTTCAGTTCTGGTGGGCTACAACTTGCACAAAAGGTTATTCCACGGAAGTTGTTTCCAAATTTGCAAAGTACATCCAACACGAACTTTAGTATTCACAGGTCCAAGAGAAAGAGGGTAGCCACTTAATATACAATTCTCTGAAGTGACGGCCTTGTCATAGACTTCAATGGAGGATGCCAATAAAGAATGCAGCATACAGATATGTATGATGATGTTTCTGCAAGTAAAAATTCAGAGGCTCTAAACACGAAGTGAAATTGAAATTGAAACTGTAGTAAGGGAATCGAAACAAATCGAAAAAGCGATTACTTATAGGCAATCTGATGTTGCCTAGCACAAACACTCAATAGGTATGCCGATATACATAGTCATTACACACAAAAGGAAAAAAGAGGAAGAAACGACTAAGCGCCTAAGCGCACCGTGGACCTCTTCGTATCAGTCGGGCATTCCCTTATGTCAGAGTCGCGAAATGTCCTGTAAAACGGAGCCAAAATCTAATTTTTGTGTATTTACATGTAATGCATACAGATATTCCTGTTAATTTTCGTTTCTAGAATGGAAACTATTTGGCCTGTTTCATTTCATGAAAATTACAACCTGATTGCAGGTTAGTTTTGAACAAGATTAACGTGCTTGATATTCACTTATGCCTGGTATAATAATTCGAACCAAACCAAAAACCAATTGAACTTAATCATTCAATTGTTTGGCAATTGGTTTGCCAATACAACACAATCCACCGTAGGAAAAAAGATGGCGGCTGTACATTTTACCACAATGCCTTGCGAACCTAACACCGCCTACAAGGCATAAAGAGAGCCAAATTTTTACAATACTTGTCCCCGTACTAAGGACATTGAGTAGCTTAGGTTTGAAGATATTATAACGTTTCTGTACGTTTTTATGAGCGCTGTTACGGTTTTCGTGCGCTGGGAACTATGGGTAAATGTACCAGTCGCCATCTGCCTTTTGCTTGATTTATGTGATAAAAAGCAGCAACGCTGGAAGAGTTCAGGAAGACAGGGTAAGAGGCCACACTTGTGCAGCAATAAAGATTAAGATAGTCAGCAGAACCTAATACTTCTCAATCAAGCTAAGCGTTGAACGCATTCTATGCAGTTGTCTCCTGATGAAAATGTTTGGTTTTCTTTTATAATGACAATTTTAGCTCGTACATCGCCTGACAGAAAACCTGACAGAACTCAACGTGTATGACCAAGTAAATAGACAAGATTTAGTGATAATCTTTTTCAGAAATAGTACGTCAACCTTTGTTTAGTGAATAATGAATTAGCTTGAATTGTAAACAAGATAGGTAAATAGTTCGATCAAGATAACGGATCGGCACCGAGAAGAGTTTTCTCATTAGTTCCTTTCTACTCCCCTGGGCATTTTTCGGACATTTTTTTACATCTGCCACCATGAATAGGGCAGAAATCAAACGAGGTTTATCGTTTTTTAAACTCGTGGATACGCGAAGCGTAGAAACGTGTTTGTTGCGGGGACTCCGATATGCAAATGTGTCACTCACTCACTCACTCACTCACTCACT